TTTCTCATCCATTTGATATCTAAAATTTGTCGAAAATCCGTCAACTTGATTTATATTGCTAATTAAATAAAAGTTGCATTGTGAACTAACAACAAAATATGATTAATGTTGAAAAAAATGAGTGAATGAAAGCAATAAAATATTGCAAAAATAAAAAATGATCGGTTCCAATGTATGCAAACTCTTCTAAATCAAAAACCAATTAAGCTAGGCCTGGCATTTATTAATGATGACGAATAACGAATACAGCCCAACGGACAGCTGAATAGTTTGAAGCCTCGAGCTTTATTTCAATTCTTTACATATGATTTGTCTCTATACCTACACTAATATTTCTATACGTTTCTCTACTAATGTATCTACATTAATATTATTCTAATTTACATATATCACTATACTAATACCTACCGAAAGAGGGTCTTTATATTTCTTGGCGATGACATGTCATCACCAAGAAATAAAAAATGAAACTCATAGAATCACTTAAGTTGATAGAATTACGTATAAGTTAGAGAGGATAAGGTATTTACGCGTTCTGAATAGTATGAAGTATGGAAAGAAGCATATCGTCTATTAGTGGAAATAGTGACAAATCATCACCCTCTTCAGCCGTCGACCATATTATTATAATGTCAATTAGTTGGACAATTGGGCAAAAAATATCTCTTTTCCAGCTGCTCAAGTTTCCAAAGTATGAATATAACTAAATTCCATTAATACTTGACTTTCATAACAATCGATAACTTTAAGTGAAATGAAATTTACATGAAGCACAGATCATATTTATATTTACCAAATATATTAGGAACGTATAGAGCTCAACAACATAAGTGGACATAAAAACAGCATGGCAAATTTCCCTCTAAGCATTAGCCTCTTACTAATGTAGCAGTTGACTAATTCTAATCCAATTACCAATCTGATTCTCAGTAGTTTTGATCGTCGCATTATCCAATAGTTCCCGATTCAGCTCACCTAATTCATAGTAAAATAAAATTGTGTTACCTCTTACTCCTTCGAATCTTACTTCATTTTGCGCCCACCGTGAACTTATAATGATTAACTAAACTTCTCTTCCATTTCTAAATTCTAGCCTAGGCGATGCTCCCCTCCTTATTTTAAATGAGCCGCGAGTTTGCTCTCTGGCATTGTTCACTGTCAGCTTGAATCAGCCCATCTCCTGACTGGAACAACGATATAAAAACGACCAACCTTTGAAGCATGCCTCTAAATAGCCGAGGTAGAGAAATACGGCCCGTACGAGATAGCCCCCGGACGTACCCCGAATGGTTCTTATCGGGTTTCGTCTTTTGATTTCATGCGTGGTTCTTCCCTGCGCACCAGCTGTGTTTCCTTAAGACTGCGTCATTCTGCGAATTGAGGAACTTGTACGCTGTTTTTGAATGCAATGACATGCGTCTTAATGAGTGATAAGACGTGTCGTAGCTGCTAGCATAATGTGGGCTTCCTCTACAAATTGCAGTTTTCAGCTTCTTTTCAAATAATTTTTGGCTGGGATGTTGCTGTTTCTACCACTTTATCGTCGTACCATCTCTGTTACTTTCCTGAGGCTATCGTCGGCAGTTTCGCAGGGAGCTAACGGTGAAGAGAAGAATATTGAAATGAAGTCAGCAAATTACAGGTCAGTTCATCAAGACTTTTATACTTTATCATTTGTTAGCACCGCAGAATGCAGAAAACTTCGATAGGTCTTATTTTGTAGTATTTCATACCACTCGGGAATCACTATTCAAGTTCAAAAAGGATCTCATCTAGTTATACACTTGGTTACTTCTCTGTTAAGACAGTTATAAAATATCCAAATCAATCCCAGAATAGAGAAGAATAATACTCTTTTGTTATAAAATTTTACAATGGATATGGTATTATATTGTCTTATTTGTTTGCTTCGTTGCAAATGTGTTGCTGACCAAAATACTTCACATAAAACTAAAAATTCGAACGAAGGGAAAAAATTATGAAGATCAAATTGCAATCTTTGGCTGTGTACTAAAAGAATGAGATACAGTTTAGTGGCGATTAATGTGTGATTCTGGAGGTTTGCCGAGTAGGTTTGTAGATTTTTTAAATTTAATTGGTTGCAAGCAAAATCTTTAATGCTCTTCATTAAAGGAATACACTGCTCGCAAAAATCATTTCGTGTGAAAATTATTCTTAGGTAGTAATATAAGGGGTTCTTCTGTTGATATTTTGTGGTTGTTTTAGCGTAGGAACCCAATATGCATTATTATGCATTAGCTTCCCAATATGCATTATTTTAGACCTGGTTCAGACTCTTATGCATATGAAAATCCATGGCCGAAATTAAATGGTAGTCGTCTGGATTGGCTATTTGGTGATGGCTGGAGAAGACCACTGGCAAAAGATCAGGGCGGCCAGATCGTTCGTTTTAATAATTTCTTGATTTCAAATAATGGTGCTTTTCTTTTGAATCAGGAAATAAGACTTCAAAATTTTTTCGTGCATGTCTTGCCTTAATTTATAGCGTCGCAACTGGATTTGGTTTGGTTTATCTCCCTATGATGAACATGCAGATTGGTTGAAATTTCATCAGTACATGTTTGTTTTGTTAACAGTAATGGTTAGTTGGGTGACGCTGTACATCCTATACGCTGCTCCCGATTGGTTTGTTTTTCTTTTTTCTTTTTTTCTTTTTAAAACATTTTTCTCGTTCCCACTTCTGCTAAACTATAATAAGCACTTTATAGCACTTTAGAAGAAAGTTTTTCGGGAATCTTCTCCGCTCAAATATCCAAATTTTACAAATAATCTTCTGAACTAATTCATTATGTCAGCATACTTTAGTCTGCTCTACTCTTACCTCTTACTTCAAGTATTAAAAAGAACTCTAATTTACTTCTTATAAAACAGCAATCCTCGTTTGCTAATATATCTATTACTATTATTGTTCATAAAGGTGTTAGTAATCTATTTGTGAAAAATTTGAGCCTAGACAAGCTTACATCATCATATACAGATTTTTGATATATTCACAAAAAGTTTTTTGTGATATGAAAAAAGTATTTTGCAAGCCTCTCAAAAGAGCCGTATCTTTTTCTGATAAGTAGTTTATTACAGGCCACAAGCAAGGGATTGGGCATATCGAGAAGCTCATTTGGAGATAGCACGAAGGGAAAAAGCAGGATTACCATACATCAGCAAAGACTTGATTCGACCAGACAAAATTGTTCTTCCATCGGATGAGGAGCTTCAGAACTTTGAAATTATCATTTGAATAATGTTATTGTAAATATACCTTATTTTAGGAATGGTCCCAGTAGTTTTTTGCACTCATCTTGTCAAATTGTCGAAATATTCAGTGAAATGAAGTGCTGCAGTCGATGTTTCTTGGAGATGTCTGTGGATGCTTCCTTGAAATATCCTATGCTTGATTTTGTGTGGGAGCATTAGATGAACCATAATTTACCATTATGTAAAATCTCGACTCAAATCTTCGAATTGATACATTTTTTTTTTGACTGAAAGATCAAAGCATAAGAATCATCTCCAAGCTCTACGTTTGTTCGTTTGGTTTCCTTGTCTCACTCCTTTATAAACACTGTTTTTGTTTGTAGAGCTTGTCGTTGTTTTTAAGAATTCAGCTATGAAAAGTTTTTTGTTGTGTACTCCCTTTAGAAATTTTGGATGAAAAAGTTGCAGAAATTAAAGTTGTGAAAATGGAGAAATTTGATGAAGTGGACTTTTCTCGAAAGCTGGCGAAAGCTGATTGACGGTTAATTTTGACGCTTCTAATTTAACTGGTTTGCCATTTGTTGTTGTTAATAATTCTGGATGCTAGCATTCAAAAGGAAGAACAGAAATCAAACTTTAATTTGGGACATTTCCACCACATATTATTTACTCAAATTACCAGAGCTTTTGCTGTACCAAGAAATCTTCAGATACTGTACCTCTTCTTAAAAGCATCACATTATGCCCTATGTCACAAAACGTTGATACAACTTCATCAGTTCCATAAACATTACAGCAGACAATTAATGTTACTTCTGTTTCGTAATGGTTACAACTTAGAAAGACTCGTGAGTAATATTCAGCTGCAAAATCTCAAAATTATTTTTTAAAATGCTTACACATAAGACTCCTTTTTTGGCCCAAATATAATAAACCTTTGGTAATGTGTTCTTTAGCGATCTGTTCTTCTGGTCGAACATCTAGAATGACAAGCGATTTCGTTGCTAGAGCCCTTCTCATCAATTAGAAATATTCCTCAATGAACAAAAGATTTCTCAAATATTTCGACTTTCACAGCTCCTATGCTAAAAGGATGTGAATGGGTCATATGACTCCTTACCAAAAAAATAGGTTTTAAAAAGTTCTTGCCTCCAGTTTTTGATAAACTTAGAATATTGTCGATTGATATGGCAGGTAAGAGTATAGCAACAAATATGAATGTAGACAGGAGATAGCAGCCTAAAAGGATTAAGCTTTGATAGACATTAACCTCGTAACAGTTCGTGTGATGATCCCGATAGTCTCAGTTTCTTTGGAATTCATAAGAATTAATATGAAATAAAAAATTGTTGAAAACCCTTCATCTTCTAAACGGCTTCCTCTTCCGAGTGTAATTTCCTTGTGAATAATTTTTGGTAAAGATAATTGCATGTCACTACCCACAAAGGGAAGTGCTGAAGAATTTTTTAGTTTTTTTGGTTTTTTTTTTTTCAATTTTTAAGTTTTTAAATTATTTTGAAGATCAGGTCTTTCACAAACAGAAAAAGCGTGGTAACACATTTTCTGAAAAGTGCAACCGCTATCAAAACAAGTTCAGATCAAATATTCCAAATAACTTACGTGTATAAGAATCGTTCTATTTCTTGTAAACAATGGGAAGTGTAATACAATTTATTCTTTTATCAGTGTTTGGTGAAGATGCGGTGGAATTAGAAAATATAATTTTAAAAACATCGAGGTAACATACTCATCAGTTATAATGCTGGTTGAAAACACAGAAGATGATTTTATCCTGAACAATCGACAGCACCGAGAGGAGCATTTGTATAGCGCACACTCCGTAATGCAGCTGCAACCATTTAACACGTATTGATAAAAACCGAAATTTTTTTAAGTAAAAAAAATTTTTTTTTCACGAGATATTTACTGAATTAGTATATCATTTAATTCTTGTTAGGTATTACTAAGTTACAAAGTTAAAAATAGTTTCACAATTCAAGCCTACCGATGAAAATATGAAGAAATAAACAAGTATCGTAGGAAGAAGAAAAAGTAATATGGTGAAAAATAAAGTAGCTATGAATAGCTGTCTCGCGTCTAGTTTTACTGAATCAACCCTCTTGCGCAAAGGATTATATTTCCGTCCACGAAATAATCTCCAAAGTGATTTTATTGACATTATTGACAGTGTTGCCAACCTGGAAGAGATTCTTGATTGGGAATGAAGTGAAACAGTCGTTATGCACTCCTTACAAAAATGCTTACTTTCAATTACTGTAAAAAATGGAAATAACACTTGCTTGAAAGCGTAAATATGAAAGCAGTATATATGCACGGTGAGTAGCTGAAGGAGATCAGATAAAGCAGCGAAAAAAACAGATAAGCCAAAGAAACACGATAAAGAAATGAAACCAAATCCAATGTAAACACTTGCTACTGATAAATAAGCTGAAAAACAAATGTATCAGTTTAATTGAAAAACTGTACCATCCTTTGAACTTGATGATTTTAAAACTTCTGAATCCCTCCTGAGATTGAAAGTTCATAAGACTTTGAACCTCCTGAGATTCAAAATTTCTTTCCTGAGGCTGCATGTATTAGTATACAAATAAAAAGTAATAGAAATCATCAATCTCAAGTTAATTTTAGCTTACTTTGCCATAAATAGATATGATATACAAAGAACTGTGATAATATGGTATTCAAATGAGCATTTAATTTTAAGCCAGCGGGATATGTTGTGAGCCAGCGTATCAGCTAAAAATCCTCAGCATTATTTAAATTATTTAGAATTCTCTAGTCAGGATATTTTCTCCACTTATACTCCGTTACTTCAGTGATCTGCAGATCGAAATGAAAAGACAACCTTCTCTAGATTAGTAATCATCATTGCAAGTCCATCCCAAATGTAATCAGAAAAAAAATCGACTTCCGTCAGTTCTTTCCAAACGGTTACACCAATGATAGTATCCAGAATTTGACGCTGTGTCCTAAAGAATTTTTTATATTGTGTGCTGATGTAACTTACATAAATTAATCCGGGACATTTGCAAAAAAAACCGACCGACACGAACCTTTCCATTTACATTGCAGTCTGGAAACAACTGCGGAGTATTTTGCAAATGACGAGATCAGAACGGATAACTGATATAGCGCAGCAGACATTTCTGCGAATTCCTTCATCCAACAATGTCCTGCAAAATCCATTCGTCACTTCCTAGATTTCCTAAAACAACCAGTAATAACGAGAAGTTACTGCAGGATACCAAGACCTCAATCTCCTACAAACAAATTAGGAGCATTATGTCAAACTTATTCCATAACCACTTAGCAGAACAACATCAGCGCAGTACTGCTAAGCTGCCAAATCTCTGAACAAATTATACATAAAACCATTTATCCTTCAAACAGTTATACATATTTGTAATCATATCGTTAATCATATCCAACACTTAACCTAACTTTTTGCAGTTTTTTGTATGTTATAAAACATTATTCGAAGCAAAATTTCATCACTACAAATCAAATTTCTTTTTTCTATCCATTTACAGTACCGAGAATATTTTTATGTATAATCCTGCTAGAAACGGCAAGCAAATTACACTGAGAAATTTATGGACAAGTCACTTATTTTCCAGAAAAAAATATTTACGAAATCTAAGTTACAAGTGTTTGTAGCATAATGTTTTATGGTACTTAAACTTTTATAAGATATAGTATAAATTAAAGAACAACTTATAGAAAAAAAAATGTAAGTCGAAAATACGAAAAAAAAGGTAGTAACATTCTTGTTTAGACCAGTCACTGCAATTTTCTTGTACTAATTATAGCATTCTAGATGGTCATGGATGAGGCAGTTCAAATCTTATTTTCATGCTAATATAAATAAACTATTATGCAGCCGATAATATACCAATCACGATAACGAGTGGAAGTAAACCTCCTAACCTATGAATGGAATAATTTGAAATCTATACTTCCACTAAAAAATACTGCACTTATTACGAAAGTATACACAAGAATTAAGGACACATAAAATTATAATATTTTTGTACTTAAAGAGAATCTAAGTAATTGGAAGCTCTTATACCCAACAAGAATGTAGCAGATAAAACCTTCATAAATAACAGCGATGATAAATGAAAAATACTGTCCTACATAACCAAGTTGTTGATCATAATCCCGAGTTCTGATCCAGTTTCTATTCAACAGTGTGGAAATTGGATTTCAGTAGATGCGATGTAATAACGCAAAAAAAGTAAAGTAACTAGAACGGTTTATGTACCTGTTAGTATCGTACTATCATCACCGTATCTGGCAATGGTAAATCTTTGATGGTCATAATATCCATCTCAAAAATAAGCAAACACAAACAAAAAAGACTGCTGTTGAGATAAAACATTCTTCATAAATACATATATCTTGTTTAACTTGAAATTGCCAAGTGATCTTATCGATTAAAACTGACATCTACATGCTAAAAGGAAAAAACTTATAAAATCCAGTAATTCTTTTACCATGCCAAATCACCTGTCTTCGTAACTTTGGAACAAATTCAGCATTATTTTACCATTGCTTTCGTCTCTTCCAATAAAGAAAGCGAAACACCAGCGATGGATTCGGCTGAAACTGACGCTGCTACATACATATTAGCCAATATAAATGCTATTTACTAAAAGAGAGCAAGAATTAATAATTCCTAAATCCAACACATATCTCGATTGTGAGAAAAATCGAAATCAACGTATTTATCAGCTAGAGACAATAATTGATACCAGTTTACTTGAGGTAAAAATACCGAAAAACAATAACATAGCTTGCACATTTCGTAAAACCAAGTTTCCTAAGTCCTACAATAAGTAACCACGGTATGTGAGAACATACTCTTCTTTCGAAAATGGGAAACCTTCTTCCTTAATCATCCCAAAACTACAGTGATATCACCATATTTTGCTACGTTCACTTTAAAACAAATCCACAATTGTGTTACGATTTAGGTACTTATAATAAAGGAAATGAAGAGCACAACTGATTTTACAAAACCATTACACGCCACTTAAGAAGTGTACACTTAGCTCAAGATTTCATGAGCAATGTTCTATCTATCTCCTCTTTCATCCGAAAAAAAGTGTGAATGAAGGACCAAACAAAACATACTAAAGACCAAACGTAACACACTCATGCTTCAAAATACATGTATTATAAAGCAAAAAAAGGACATTATAATCAATGAAATATTCATAACAGTATTCGAAATCCAGTGACAAATATATATATATATGCATTGTAAGACAGGTCTCTAAAAGTAATAAATCAAACGCCAACTGTTACGCCTTCCCGATGAATTGGATTTTCGCTTCATAGAGTTTAAAAAAAAAAGTTTTGAACTTATTGAAGAAATACCCTTTATATTTAAATTCTTCCCACAGATAATTTGTCTACTTTTACGAAGCCTTATGGATCCTTCCAATTATTTATCATTTCCATTGAAACAGAATGTTTATCAGTAACTTCATGATTCCGAACCGAGCATCTTAAAACTCACTTCATGACTTCTAGAATCTTATTCCAATTTCACGCTCAAGTTATGATGAACAAACAAAAAGTGGAACAATTCGATCACCTTAGAGACCGATAAACACATGTTCCTGCGTTATTACATTATACTTTAACTGTCTACAGATTGGTGACTTATAAACAATTATATCTCGAACTCAGAAACCCGCCGAATCACTCCACCCTCATAATCCTTTCTGGAACATCAATTTTTATCCTTTATATCATCTCGACAACAATTTTTAACTGACCACATGCCAACCACCCCCTAAAAGTATTTCTGAAAAACTTTTAGGCACAATATTCCCCTGCAAAACACAACACAAAATGTACACCCACTAAAAAGAACGAGTATAACACTCATACTCAACAGGAATTCTTTATTCAAGGCAAATGATTGTGATACGCTAGTCATGAGAATCTTCAAGGGGCTACTAGTACTTTTCAGCAATGGTTAACAACACGTCATCTGCTCCAATGCAGCCTTCGGATAAGTAACATAATGGAGAAACCAAACTTCATTAAAACTAATCATATTGACTCCACAAGGGATACAAGAAATTATTAAATTCTACACAGCTTACTCTCCGTCAGCACAGCAGATTGGTATCTTATGCTCCAGTATTATCTGATACCAAGCCTTCATATTTCAGAAGCTGTGTTGTGCTTCAGAATTACCAACTCCCTATTTATGTCAGATATAAGGGCCGAAAAGTGTCAGGAACAGTTAATACCTATAGTGAGATAACATTGTTTAAATTTCATTTAACAATATACAGTAGAACCTGCATATGCTTCATTGTTACCATTGTCGTACACAAACTCGACTTTTGGAAAATAGTTTATCATCCTAATTAAATAGATTCTATCGCAGTGTATTTCGCACACCGAGTTAATAAACCATATGAAACACATAGCTATCAAAAAAAAACCTAACTAGTAACTGCATATGAAGAAAAAAATTCATGCATAACCAGAAAACGGCAAACACTCAGGAACATGTTTTACGATTTCCCGGCTGCTTCCAGCTTTTTACGTAAAGAGAGCGGCATTTCTGGCGGTGGTGGACGAGGCAATTTAAAATACACTTTCACAGAATCATAAATAAACCATTGCAATGCCGTAAGCGTACCTATCATTATAATACGAGGAAAAAGTCCTTTCCAGAGACCTGCAAGTAATGGCTGTTCTTTCATTTAGTTCACAGAATTCAGTGTTTACTGACTGGACAAGTTTAAAAAGTTTTAGTTGAGTATAAACCCTTAAAATATCTTCTGAACCTCAATGGATCTAGAACACACTTAAACATACCCATAAAACCCAATTTTCTAGCGATTGCACTCGCGGAGGAGCCCGTATCTTGGTTGAGTTTACTAACGACTGTATCCGCCGGATGAGAAACGATAGCACAGAACACACCGGCAATATATCCAGCTACGAACGTAACGACTAACTGTTCTTGCTTTGTGCATTCAGAACGTGGTTTTGGTACCACATACCTATATAATGCTTCCAATGTACGTTCAAAACACGCAAATTTCATCATGGTGTAAGGTATCTGACGCATCCAAAGTGGTGGTAGACCTAAAATCAATCAAGTATCATTTGACGCGAAAGTACACTATGACTTGAAAAAAAAAAAAACCATTTGACTTCAATCTTTTCACGATCTAATACTTTACTGTCTTGCACCTATTTTCCAAAATCAAATACATAAAGTACTCTAGCAAATAATATTTTACAAAATCAATGGAACAACTACTTGCCTTTGTAAAAGCCTGTCATTCCTTCATTTCTATATATCATTGGTGCACAACCACGAAGTGTTGGTGGAGCACCTGGAGACGTCTGAACGCGAACTTTCGTAGCTTCCATTGGTGCCAGTAAAATGTCGGCGAAAAATTCTGCAGACGCAGAAGCAGCCAAATACAAACTTGTACGCCACTGATAAGATAATTCCTAAAACATAAAATATTAGTACTGCCAGAAATCCCTTCCCAAACTCAAAACTGTCCCAATGTCTCCTTAAATAAATAAATTTAAAAGAAACTCCATGAAAATACTAGTTTAACAGATAAAACAAAGTCAACTCTACCCAAACAAACCTAAGATGGAGCATTACAAAACCAAGTTTGCCGAACTAACATAAAAACTATACCTCACCCAGCACGTCACTATAGAAAATTTTAAACATCTCGTAAAAACCGAATTTTCCAAGTCCTTGGAGCGAATATCCAACTAATGTTGGCGCCCATCCTTTCCCCAAAGCACGAAAGCCTTCTTCTCTTACTGTAGTTCGAAAGCCTTGTATAATTCCTTTGTACTTTTCCGGATTCACCTAAAAACCAACTTGCATAAGCGTAGAAATAAAATTGAGAAGCTTCTGTAAGCCATTTAACACCAATACCTGTATTCGACATTTGACAAGATCAAGTGGAACAATAGACGTATGTGTCGTACCACATGAGATCACTCCACCCACACCACATAAAAGAAAATATTTAAGCGAACCAAATTCCACTTCCTCATCAGACTTATCTGCAAGCTTCAATCAATTAAGCACTTAAAAAGAAAAAGAAAGAAAATAAACTCTCCCTCCTCCTATTAATATAATAACTTATATGCTAAGCAAATCTCAGAAAAAAAAAAAA